AGTTTCATACAGAAAAATTCATTTTTAATACAATTGACACTAAGATGCACATGCGTTTCTAATCTCTATATATCTGATTATGACTAGTCACAATCGGTTACACTCAGATCCTTGCCACCTGAGTATGGATATAAAGTCACCAGGTAGATTTCAGTGGTAATGTTTTTCACATCTACTAATTATTAGGGAGCAAATTTTTATGCTTTGAAGAATTTTTTAAATTTTTTTAATTAATTTTTTATACCCACTTCCCAGATAGTACCCTCTCATAGCCTCCCTCCCCCCACTAGAACCCTTATACTCTGATATCCCTGCTACTGTCTGCTGTACGATACATACTTTTAATCATTTTAATTCACTCAGTTAATTCATCAGCACCAGTACCATTTCACGAATTGTATCAACTCTATTGAATCTCTTTAATAAGGATAATCCACTATACCTTCTTCCCCTAAGTCCCAGATGACCACTGTTAAAAATCTTGATATGGACTATTCTAGGTTATTCATGTAAACATAATCATGAAATAATTTACATTTTACATTTTGCTCATTTTATTTGTTGCTATTTTTTCAAAATTCATACATTTTGAAGCGTATGTGAGTATTCCATTCTTTTTAAAGGTAGAACAACCATCTATTGTGACTATACACCATATTCTGTTTATCCATGGACCAAACAACAGATTGTTTCAGCCTTTTGGTTCTTACTGAAAAATGTTTTAGAACCAGGCATTGTGGTGCGTACCTTTAATCCCATCACGTTGGAGGCATAGGCAGCCATTTCTCTGTGAAATCAAGATCAGACTAGTCTACATAGTGAATTAAGAGACTAAGTAGCCTTTGACAAAATCCTATCTCAAAACAAAACAAAAATGCTTCCATGTACATGGGCATACAAGAGTTAATTTGAACTCCACCTGTCAATTTGTGTATGTGTGTGTGTGTGTGTGTGTGCACGCAACTCAGCATTTTAATGTTTTCTGTGGATTTTTCATATATAGTCTATATTTTTACATTGGAAAATTAATTTTTAAGTTACTATACAAACCAATCAATTACTTTGATGGGATTTTGTATATAGGCTTCATTACAGTTGGGTCTCCATTGCTGTCCTGACCAACCGTCATTCTTCGGCCCCTGAAAGGTTTTTATTGCTTTGAAGTAGTTAAGAAACTGTTGAGTTTGATGCAAGTGAGAGTGGGAATCTGCCAGGAACTCTCCACAGTGGTTCAAAGGACCCTGCGCTATCTCTTCTCTACTACCCACTACTCCTTATCTGCAATGCCTTCTGGGACCTTGTTCAATATTACACTCTACACTGTAGGTTTCTTCCTGTTGAAAGTCAACTTAAAGGGAAAGTAACACACCATACATATGATAGACTTGTAGGTATTTTCTAGAAAAGGTATTTTAAGCTTTCCATGACTAGAGGCCCTCAGAGAGCTCAGATAGAAAAGCAGACTTTTGAACTTGACCCTTCACAGTACAGTCTGTGATATTCTCACTGTGTATTGTCACTCTGCTTCTTCTGCAATGACAGATTCGCTAAGCACTGAAGAGTTTGAGAGGGTAGGAAGTAAAGGATCATTGTCCAATTTTTGAGAGCAAAAACTCATCACATTTGACTGTTATCAACATAATGTAAGCATAATGCTGATTCTTTGCTCAGTTAGTGATGTGGTTAGAACAGTGTTCCAAGGCCCGAGAATATGGGAGATGGGAGACTCTAGGCACAGATGTCCACATGCCATCTGGGTGTGATACTGTGAAGCTCTAAGTCAGAGAGAGCCTCAAAACTGATGGCAGGATTGCCAACTGGTAATTTATTTATGGAGAGTGAAATTGTAGCTTGTCTGCTAAAAATCCAGAATGGCACGTGATATCACCTTTTCCTATACTCATTATGTAAGGATGAAAATGTCACTGTTTTCCAAAACCTGCCACATTCCTGTGATCTTTGTGACTAAACACCAGCAAACTATTACTTAATTATCATATATGTATCTTTTTTACTTAATGATCACATATGTACTGTTTGGACTTTTGCTTGCATCTGAGAATAAAGGTCCCCAAACCTTGAGCTCAAGGTGGGGCTGACTTCTTTATGGAATGACCTGTGTGTCACTCCTGCTATTGTGAAATTAAACTCCCTCTCCTCACCTGAAAAAAAGTTTTGTGTTTCTTGTTCTAATTGGCTGAAGCTGCCTACAGAGTTCTTATCACCTGAAACATCTGTCA